GATGGATGTCCAGGAACCCCAACATTCGCCGCGGCCCTTGTTAACCCGTGCGATGACTGATGCGGTATAAAATTTTTATTCGTTTCTTTCACCATATTGTATGGGTTGGCGGGTTTTTTTTTTTTATGGGGCCAGGTTGCCAACCTGACCCCAACCCTCCTCCTTTCTCATCCGGGCTTGGGACCGGCAATGGCGGAGTTGTTGTTGTTGTTGTTGTTGTTATGTTAATCTTTGGTGAGATTCACAGCTTTTGGAGCTGGTTGGTAGCTCAACAGCTCGAGTGGTAACCAAGGACCTAGGAACTGTTAAGGTAAGCTGTTCCAAGTAGGGTGATTTTTGTAGAATTAGAATGTTCAAGTCTGATAAATTTAAAATTTCCAAATAGTGAGGTAGCCCTTTAGCTGGTCGTCGTGGTCGTCATCATCATCATCTAGTACCTCAGAGCTGTGAAACTTTTTTTCTGTCATCTACCGACTGTTGTGATTAGCATTTCATAGGAACTGAAAACCCTGCCAGGCGAGCCCTTCCCAACACTAAATTGCTGAATTAACTCACCTCGTTGACTACAACATCCTCAACCGTCTGCAGTTTGGAAGACTAACACAAACAAGTTTTTTCCTCTGTAAAACATTTGTCTTACTTTCCCTTTTCTCCCGGGGGAGGAGCGGGGGGGGGGTTTCCCTGCTGTTGCCAACATTAAGAAACGCCTCCCTCCCTGGGTGGGGTCCGTGTGTCTTCTGAATGTATTGGAAGCGCGAAGCCTCGCTATCGAGGACCATCGCTCTACACTTTCCTCTCTCTATAGTTTACTCCACTTCCTGTTTGTCCCGTAGAAAGAGCTGTCGGGACCGGAAGCCGGAAAAAAACCGAGTTAGAACTGTTGGAGATGGGCTTGTTTGGGAAGACGCCAGAAAAGCCGCCCAAAGATCTGGTAATGGTCGTGGGAGAGAAGTTCAGGGGACCAAAGGTGGGACTGGATGGGCCGAAAGTGGAGGATGAACAGCGGGAAGGTCTGAAAGGCAGGCAGTCGGACCTGGCGAAGGAATGTGTCTAGTTGGGATTGCCGCTGGCGGGCCAACCCGTCGCCTGTTTTTAATTCACTTCTCTATTAAGAACAGCGGAGTCATTTCCCCACATTTCCCCGTGTGAGCCTTAGTGAAGTTGGACAGGAAGGGGCGACTGCCCAGGTACATCCTCCCACACAGCAAGCGTAGTTCTTGTGCGTTTGTTGAAAGGTAATTTGGAACCAGGATTGCTTGCATTGTTTACTGGGGAAAAAAATCTCTCGTTTCCGTAATGCTTCCTCGGGTCAGTAACATCCGATACCTCCCATATCCTTTGTTTGGTAAGAGAACAGACAAGTGACTATGTGCAAACCAAGCAATTGGCTAGGCTCGTGCAACACTGAATTCTTTATTATGGTTATTTTTTGGAGTATTGAGATTCATGGAATCCAACAAATTCTGTCAAATGTCAAAATGTGTAAATCCCAAGTGATTTTTCTACCTCATGTATATATTTGAAGCATATGCCTAAAGAATAATCCTTCTGATTTGATAAACAAATGTAAATGTGTAAGCTACACTGAGAGAGAGCTCCATTATAAAGTGGCATTGTTATTTATGTGATTATGCCTCAAAGAACAGCCTTTCAGTGTTTAGGTCACAAACAAGTGTGTTTGTGACCTCAGAGTCAAAGATTGGTCCTCAGAGTCTTGTTGTCAGACTCTGATACTTGTTGGATTTCATCACAGTAGCCTCACAGAACTTTATTGCTGCTTTCTATAAAAATATCTCTCCATGCATTTAGCTTATAATTCCCCTCATTCCTCAAATGATTGTAATAAAAACATGGGGAAGGACTAGGTTTGGAGAAGGTTACCTGAGTGGAAAAAGTCCCCTGAATAACAAACGTTCATAATTTTGAGCTCAATCTCTTAAACTTATTTCTAATATTTATATCTTCAGGTCAATGAGTGGTCACTGAAAATACGGAAAGAAATGAGGGTGATTGATAGACAAATTAGAGGTCTGTATTTCCACACTTTTTCTCTGAAAGTGGTAACATTAAGTGGTAACGTTAAGAACCTTTTTCTAATTTGGTTAGTGGTATAAAATTGTTGCTCACATTTCTGCCATGAGTAATTAACTAGGTTATCTGTTATGAGTACAGCTTCCATATGTTTTATACTAGAGTGGTTAGATTATTTCACATAGCTGCCTTTTTGTATATACTTCCCTGATTAAAGGGCAACTGGAACCAAGCACAACATGCACTCAGGTGATCCAGTTAAAATAGCCCTGACCATGACCGTTGTTAAATTTTTCAAGACTTATATTAGATATTGGTGGCTGTTAAGTTCTTCCAAAATAAACTAAAATATATGTGTCAATATATTCTTGGAAAATGTTTTTTGAAAAATTCAGATTAGACTTAGGATATTAAGATCCAAGAGTCCATGAGAAATGGTAGCTAAGATTGGCCTCGGACTTGAGAGCTCCAATTTCAAGCCTACTTTAGCAATATAAAGTCATTCTATTTAAGCCTAAGTACTTAACTGATTCATTATAAGTGAATGAAATAAAGAGAAATCCTCATGTAAGCTAACTTGAATTCCTGGAAAAAGATGAAATATGTCTCTTAAGAAGCCAGAAAACATAGCTACTAAATCCCACTTCATATTCTTAGAAAGATTAAAGAGCATTTTTGATGAGGTAAAAAAATTTAAGAAAGAATATTCAGTATTAATGGTAAATCTTGTTGCTGGCGTACAGCTTGGTGACAAAAAAATATCACTTGTTTTTCCCATGTTAATATGATGTCAGGAAATATTCCTCTTTAAAATCCTGAAATAAACCCTTTTAAACCCTACTTTTATTTTTCTTTAATTCAGATATTCAGAGAGAAGAAGAAAAGGTAAAAAGATCAATTAAAGATGCTGCAAAAAAGGGGCAAAAAGATGTGTGTATTATCCTGGCCAAGGAAATGATCCGTTCACGCAAGGCTGTGAGTAAACTGTATGCTTCCAGGGCCCACATGAATTCAGTCCTGATGGGGATGAAGAACCAACTAGGTAAGGTTATATTTATATTTATATTTATATTAATAGAAGTATTAATAAAATACATTAATTAAAATGTAATAAGGTTAATACACCAACTCACAAAACCAATAATAGTGTTTGGAATAAAAAATAGTCCTTCTAAACTGTGTGCACATGTGCTGTCCTGCATCAGACTTGTCTTATTGGAGAGATGGGCAGCATATAAAGATCCCATTTGAGCTATCCTGGTTTCACATTATTAACTGGATTTTTGAAAAGGGACATACACATTTAGAGGTACTAATTAGTTTCAAGTTATCTATGCTAGAATACAGTGGTGTGATGGCATATTAGCTCTTTGTCTATATAATCAGGATAATACTTCTGAAAGAAGACTTTGACCTTAATTAAGCAAAGAAGTAATTATGTGAAAGCATAAAATTTGTTAAATACTAGGGACTAATAAATTCAGAGCGCTGATTTTTCTTTTGGTTGGCCAGGAAGGAAGTTGAATAGCATTTTAAAAATTATCCAAATTGAAATTGAGTATTTTTCCATTTGCAAGTTATCCATGTCCTCTTTTTAAAAGATGTTTTTCCAAAAGTTTTAATGTTAGTTTGTCATACTAGAATTCAGAAGATGTTTATTTTATACTAAATTGAGATGTCCATTTTGTCAGCATAGATTATACAATTTGGAAAGTGAAGTAAATTAGACTAGCATCAATAAGAAAGACAGTATTTCTAGTTCATAATGTGGCATGTTTTTTAATTTAATATACTTCTATCACTTCCCATTAAAAAATTCCCATTTAAAAAAAGTTAAAAATCAGCTTTACAATTCAAGAGAATAAGTTAAAAAATTAATACATACATTTTATACCACAATTGGAAAATGCAAAATAAAATCAGCAAGATAAATATCAGTAAATATACAAAATTTAAACCAAGCCTTTAAGTTAAAAGTAACAACAGGATGAATGTTGGAACACGTGGGAGAATGAAAATGTATTTAGAACTGAAAAGAGAATAATGATGATACCAAACATGAATTTGGTTATTGTGAGCTATCAAGGGTTTGGCATCATTTCTAGTTTGATCACAACCTAAAAGACTCCAAATCACTTGGAGAAATTCTTTTGAGTGAAACAGAGAGAATGTGGCAATAAAGAGGAAAAAAAGAAATATTTTCTTATTTCCACAAAGTAGGCTCAATAATGAATTTGTTCTGGTATTCTATTAGATTTGAAATGATTTTCCTCTGAAAAAGGATAATATTTGTAGCTCAGAATTAAATTGATCCTTGATGCTCTTTGAGCTTGATTGTTTTTATAAGGACATTTTGTTACCCAAACTAGGTAACATCATCAATGCTAGCAAGGACATCTGCATAAAAATGACCAAGCTCAGAGAACATCAAGGATTCATGATTTTCTTCCACCTGCATTCTTGTCTTGCAATGTGCTTAGTTGAAATGTGTGCCAGAGAGTTTAATACATTCCATAGGTGGGTGGAAAGGTTCAGAAGCAGCCCAATTAACATCCTCAGGCAAGTTGATGTCAAAAAATAGATTCCATTGGAGTCAGAAATGTAGTATTTTCTGTCAAAAAAGGTAATTCTAGGTTGCAAAATAACATGTAAACATTTCTAGAAATTACAACTTCTACTTCTTGCTTAAGAAGTAGAATTTGCTGATCTACTGATACAATAAATAATGTTAACATTGCTCATTTATTAGTTGTTGAAAACATTACTGAAAGGACAAAATAAACCACGTTTAGCACTTTATAGTTGTTTTGCATTATTGTATTTATTGAATATTATTTTTCCTTGATTGTACAATTTAAAGTATTATAGAACAACTGGAAAAATGCTGGACTTTTAGAGACATATTCATTCTTATGGATTTTTATACAATTAAGATATGGGGGAAAATATTACTATTTTGTAATCTTGAGTATCCTCACTCCCCTCCGAATTAAATAGGAAGCTTTATCTGGGTGGCCATGACAATTTTGATGCCAAAGATGCTCTTCCATTGATCTCAGTTTGATTTAAAACATTCCATGCTTTCTCTTGGCAGCTGTCCTGAGAGTAGCTGGTTCCCTGCAAAAGAGCACAGAAGTCATGAAAGCTATGCAAAACCTAGTAAAAATCCCCGAAATTCAGTCTACAATGAGAGAGCTGTCCAAAGAAATGATGAAGGTGAGATTAAAAGTTTACTAAAGTATAATGAGTGTATCATTTACAAATTTAAAATGTAACAAACTATATGAGAGATGCAAATAGATTTAGAATATGGATTATCTATTTGTGTCTCCTGGTTTCATGGTCTCACCTACCCTTTTCCTTTGTAGATTTAAGATCAGCTCAGAGCAAATGCTTGCCATACATTCCAGTCCATTGAATTGGTGAACTTAGTTTGGTATAGTTAGATCTTTTAAAGGTGTGATTGGGAGGATTGGTTTCTTATTATCATGTACATATAGATAACATTATGATCTAATTTCTGCATATCCTTTAGGCAGGTATCATAGAAGAAATGTTAGAGGACACTTTTGAAAGTATGGAAGACCAAGAAGAAATGGAAGAAGAAGCAGAGCTAGAGATTGACAAAATTTTGTTTGAAATTACTGCTGGTGAGTGGGGGCATAAATGTGCATACAGCTTTACTATGAATCACATTTTATTAATGGATATATAGCTCTTTCTTTTTTTTTTTTTTGCAATGCCAATACTTTGATTAATTTACAAATTCATTTTTGGTTTTGTTAGCTAAACTAAATTCTAAATTTAAAGTAAATACTAGTATACATATATGATTTAAAGCATTCTTGCTTGTATTGATTTTAATCATTCTCTCAGCATTTACATTACACAAGCATATTTTATTAGATTAATTTATTATATTTCTTACAATCATGGTGATTGTATGGATGTCAGAAACTGTTTGGTAAGGGAAAAGTTGGGCAATATTGTTCACTGTCTCCAATTATCAGTTATCATGCTGTGTTTTCTCTAATAGATGTGGTAAGATTGCGATTTTAAAATTAGAAACAGTTTGCATTCCTTTAAAATACATATCCAATTCCATTTCGACCTAATATTATGTTCTAATATGAATTTATCCCCTACAGAAATTTCACACCCTTCATTGATAGGCTTTTAGTTGTAAGAAAACAAGGAGTAGGAAATATATTCCAAACAAGACATTTTTATTAAAGCCATGTAACAAATAATAATAGGCAGAAACAGCTACTTAAATTAATCGAGTCATTTCAGTAAGAATCAGACATTCCCTAGCTTTTCTCAAGTCCTCTTTTAAAGACTTCAATTCCTGTGTTGGTTAGAAACTTTTGGGAACTGAAGTTTGCATAGCTTAAGATAATCATGGTTGAGAAACACTGATCTAGAAGTTTCTTTAAACAATGTGTTATGAGAAGTATTTTATAACATAACAATCATAAAAGTTAATATAATCTATACAAGCAAAATACGTAGAAAATCATTTTCACTTCATCTTGAATGCACGAATATTATTCTGTTATGAATATGATCTTGAACCTCTTCAGCCATTGGCTAATTTCCCTGTTTTAGGGCCATAAAATTCACCTTCCCTCGTCTCTCAATCAGCGGGTCATCAAACCTCCTTTTAAGTGCAGTCATAAAGTCATTAAAATTCCTCAGGACAGGGGAATTACATTGGTGTAAGCTCACCATCCAAACGGCCGCTTTTTCTTCCAAAGAAAGTGAAACTATTTGCACTTTCATCTCATCTGACTTTAAACCTTGGCCATATTTTTCCATATAGTTGCAAATCTGCATGACGAAAGGACACAACCTCTTTGTATCACCGTTATATTTTACTGGTAAAGGAGGGACTTTTGCACTTATGCGTCTTCTGGGGGACCCCCCTACTCTGGCAACAGCCCTGGCTGGGGGGGGGAGACTTTCTAGGTTTGCTTGCTCCCATCCCCCCTCGGCCTCTTCACCCTCCCTAAATTTATGCAAGGAGTACCTTTGTGCAAATTCTTCTGTTTGCTCTCTTTCCATTTCTCTCTCCCGGGACCTCCGCTTGGTCATAGTTTCTTTCCAGTCTGCTGGGGTTTTCCTTTGTTTCCGTCTGGTGACTCCTGCATCCAAATTCTCATAATCCTCATAATCCTCTTTTTGCCCCACTCTCAAAGTCCATCGGGGCTGAACCACAGGCTTCTCTATCCTTAGGCTAGCTAGCCTTTCAGGTAAAGTTGGTTCTGCAGTTTCTCTTTCAATCTCCTCATCATCGCTTCCTTGCAATGACATTTTCTCCCTCCTTCTTGTGAGTACACCCCCCATGGTAGGTTGAAAACTCCTGGTGGGGTGTGAATGAGTCTTTCGCTTACTGTCAGCACTCCTCCATTGAATAATTAGGAAAGAAAACCACGAGACTCCATTGATAGAAATCAAGTGTACTTTTACTAATTATAAATGATTAGAAGCGTAGCAAAGCGAAAGACTGATTATTTAGGCGCGAAAGCAAATGATATATAGAATAATCCATTCCCCTCCCCTTGGCATCCCAGTTACAGTCCAATCATAATTCTCCCAAGGGTCAGGTGTGAGATAACTTCGAAAGGCATCACCCAGATGGAATGTCGCTGCCGTTGGCCTTGGCGGGAAACCTCCTCCGCATGTCCAACAAGACAGGCAGCAAACTCCAGGATCCTCCTCCAGCACAATTAGTATTCCCCTCCCAAATACCATGCCCCCCTCCCCGTTTCAATGGCAGCCGAAGCAGCAGCAAAGCAGAGGCTGACAGTTTGGTTGTTTTCTTGTGGATGTTTCTTTACTCAACAACATAACATCTTCAGTAGTAGTCTGTTTATATGCAATGGCTTGTTTTGATTGCATTGGTGGGAGTACTGTTTTCTTCTTAGTAGTACTTTGGCTGTTGTTTATTATATGACTGCTAGTCTATTATTATTCCTGATGTTAATACCTGCTCATCGGGATTATTGAAATCAACTATCAGAACAACAATCAGCCAAGAAAACAACTAAGCTCAGAGAGGACCAATGACTCCACAATTTACCCTCAGTTACATACATATATTATCTTCTATTTGTCCTGGTTTTCAGATGTTCTTTTCATGCTTCATAATGTTCTTGTCTTGATAATATTTGGTTTGCACATAGTAAGTCCTTTCCAGTTGGGATATAAAAGGCCTATTTAGGGAACCATGGACATGTTTTTCCTACTAATTTTCTTCAAGCTTCTTTGCTCAAATACTCATGCTATCTTTACACCATTTGGTTACTTGGATAGCTGGATTCATCCCAAGATACATTTAAAATTATGATTTTGAAGACTCATAGGCAGTGTTTTTAGAATGAATTCATCATCATCATTGGTTCCTTTCAAATGAAGCACATTGGGCAGCAAGCTTCTTCCACTGCATGCTATCCACATATAATGAATTAATTTGAAATTTATTTTCAACTTCCAAAGCTTTAAGTTGCTGATAATGTCAGGCTATAGTTCTAAAGATAAAAATTTGTAAATTGTGTTGTACTCAGAACAAATTATATTAATTGGGGTGAGGGATGACAGCTTCCAATAAAACAGATAGTTCTGTCAGTTTATTGGTTGTGAAGTTAGCATTAAGTTCAGTAAGATTTTTACAAGTTTACATGTTTAATATTAGCTATTATATATCATAAAGTTCTTTAGGTTGTTTTGCCTGAACATCTAAGGCCCCTATTTTCTTCAGATTGCTTATAACTCCCAAATGTATCTTCTGCAGTGGAGAGCAACACTTCATTGAAACTGGTCCATAAACAGAATGAGGTTGATGTTACCCTTTGAACAATATTAAACAAGAACTATACTAGAAAGGGTTTTTTCAGATCCCCCCTTTATTATTTTTATAGTGGACATACCTCTCATACTCCTTCCTCCTTTCCCCACAACAATCATGTGAGGTGGGTTGAACTGAAAGTGAATGACTGCCCCAAATACATCCAGTCAGTTTTCCATGTCTAAAGCCAGGACTAGAAGTCACTGTCTCCTGATTTGTAGCCTGGTGGCTTAACCTTTAAATCAAACTGGTTTTAAGACGATTCTTGTATATTTCAATGTTTCTTTTTGTTGCTCAGTTGCTTGCTTTGATTTATTTCTGCAGGAGCCTTGGGCAAAGCACCAAGTAAGGTTACAGATGCCCTTCCAGAACAAGAGCCTGAAGGGGCCACAGCAGCTGTTGTAGATGATGAAGAGGAAGATATTGAAGCTATGCAGTCAAGATTAGCTACACTTCGTAGTTAAAAGAAAAGCAGTTGCACAGCTGGATTCATCTCGCCATAGGCAATTCTGTCATGCCTTTATAATGTAAATCTTCCTACAGAAGTTTTTCCTGTATATATTCTATTTTTTGTGCGCTTATGTTCAGAAATATTTTTTTTAACCCTTTTTGCCACATCAATGTATGTCAGGTCAAAACATCTCTGGCATAATAAAGAGAATCTAGTATATTGTCAAACAAAATAAAATATGTATGATTTACCTATGATTTCCTCAAATGCATTTTTGGATTGCACATATCACGGTAGCATTATACAGATTTCCAGCACTAACTGGATGTCAATAAACAGCTTTTATTGCTTTATTACAATCTCAGCTGAGAGTAATAAAATGGTAATAGTTCATTACAAATAAACAGTGCAAAGGTTGCCTTTCAAGGAGGAAATTACCTGACTAAAAAGAAGAAACTGCCTAGGCTTACAGTTCCCAACATGGTACTTAGAAGCACCAATATGCCCATTGATACTTTTTTCTGCATCTGGCAAAATTCTTGGTCCAATTAACATTTTATATTTTTATATCGGGCCATTAGAATGGAATCAATGTTTTTCTAGTTTTTAAATGTAGGCTAGCACAGTGCAAGATTCAGATTTTAATTATCTGTATTTCCAAACACACCTGTGGATCCTTAAGTTTCCTACAAATTAAAATGGTGGCTTTCCTGGTTATTGACGATATTTACTATTAAACAAAAATGGGTGATTCCTGGGAGTGTCTTGCATGACAGAAGTCCCCAAACTATCCAGCACATCAATCTCTTCATAAAGTTTCAGATTATTCATCAACCTTCCAATATTTATTATACAAAAACAAGTAGAGGCACCATTTAACTAATAGGAAGCCATTTTGCAAAGGTGGCAACATCATGTTCCCAATTTCCACCAGTAACCAAAACTTGAAGCAGGTCAATGGGAAGAGATTTGTTAACTGAGTTAACATGTTGCCTTTGCCATATTCTGCGCATATTATATAAATTTACTCAGTAGGGACCTGTTTTATATCCAAAAACTACAGATCACTTTTAAAATGGCCTTTGATATATAGGAGAGTAGTCAGTGGGGTAATAATGTTGCTGGTGGACAAGAGGCACATTTCTGGCAGTGTAATATTGAATGATTCCAGGAAGGGTGTTGTCAGAAGAACAATTTGGGGTTCCAATTCAAGCCAGGGTTGTGCAAGAATAAATAAAAAAGGTCCTGAAGCTGTGAGGAAAGAAAATAATTTATTCCTAAAAACAAAGAGTTTGCCTTTAGAGGCAGCTGCAGAAAAATGGGATACAGCGACAGTTTTTATAGGGGAACTTGTCCTGGGCGTGGAAATGTCTACGTGCTGATTCTAGAGTGAGTGTGTGTGTGTGTGTGTCTGATGTTTGTTCTGACCCCCCTCGTCCCACACCAACACACTCCGAGTCAAAGATATTTTATGAAATTTATTAACAGACAGATCCTTGGCAGCAAACCAGCACAGATAAGCCTTGGCAGCAATCCAACACAGATAAGCCGTGGCAACAATCCACCCTACCATGTTCACAAGACTGTTCTCCAACATTCGTTCCTGCGCTGACTTCTGCAAAAGGGCGTGTGCACAGGCAGTCTGGAGAGGAGCCTAATTACCACCAGCTGAGTGCAATTACCTCCTGTACTTGCACAACTGTTCCTGACGCCAATTAGCTCTTCGGTGCCAGGCATCCAGGAACAACTCACTTCTGACGTCAGGAACACACTCCCTTGTCTCCTTCCCACTGGTCCAAGGCTCAGGCACCTCCTGGTGGCCAACCAGCCTCTCTGCGCCCTGCTTGGAGTCGGAACCCTGTCCAGGGTCCTCCACATCCTCCAGAGCCGACTTATGGGCCCCTCGCTGTCGGAGTCTGGTGGCAGCTCCAACGGCTCCTGCTGGGCCACAACAGATGTTTATTCTTGTAAGCATGCAATTCTGCTGGGAGTTTTGAATTAATTCTTACTTGTATTTATAGACCTTATCTTTTGCTATGTTGATTAGGGTAACCTATTTGGGGCTTTGAGGAAGTTTCAGTAAAAGATTTTCTCCTGTTTGCTATTTTTACTTGATTAATTTAGTATCAGCTTGACTGACAATTATCCAGAGGAGACATCGATTCTCAGACAATTGTGGATTCTGTTAATATTTTAAGGAAAGATGGAAACAGTACAAAGAATAATATATATTTTGATGTAAAACTTCTCAAAGTGTAAAGTGGAAAGTAAGTGGATTAAGCATAACATGGATTCGTTGCCATCAGCCATTCAGTTGTGTTCAACTTTCAATGGATCAGCACTTTCCATGCTTCTCTGTCTCACACCACCTCCTTCAGATCTATCCAGATCATGCCAATGTCCAGCCAGCAAGTACTAGGCAGCCCCTTCTCCTTTTTCCTCTGATCCCTCCCAGGATGATTGACAGTTTGCATGACATGGCCAAACTAAATAATAGCATTTGGCGATCTTGGCTCCTACTGATATTTTTGTGAGATTCGGTCGAGGACTTCATTGTGATTTTTGCAGTCCGTGGGATGCATAATCCAGCATCATAATTTAAAGGCATCCACATTTCTCGTATCTCCCTTTTTCAGAGTCGAAGTTTATCACCCATAAGCAGCAATTGGAAAAATGTATATTATTGCAATTAATTGTTAAAATTATTACATATAATTTTATGTGTTTCATGTGTTAAACATAGTTATATTACCACAAAAAGGAAAAATGGTACTTTTAAAAAGCTGGTAATGTGATCGTAGCTTCAGACTGAAAAAACAGGGCTATGTTAAGCCATGCTAAATAAGCATTATCTTGAATGAACTATCCCAGATTGCAGTCCACAAATACACCAGGGCTGAAAGAACTACATTGGGAAGTACAGTGTGTGTGAAAAGTACATTTGATACCCATAGGGTACAGGCTGCAACTTTCTGACAGAAAAGGGAGTGAGTTTTCTACATATATAACATTCTAAAGTGATATGCTAAAAGAATATAGAGCCCTCACCCCGCTTCCTCAAATTTTCTTTTAGCTTTTAAAATGTCTATGGAGATTCTCAATCATCCAAGTCACGGTTGCCCCAAAGGTGCTTTTTCAGCATTATAAAGTGATATTAATGCTTCATGTGATCTTGATTCTATCTTTCTGGTAATGCAGAGAGATAGAATTTTGATTTACTGAAAATGCTTTGTAGAGGGAGGCTTTAGTTGGTTTGTGTGGTACACTGATTCATTTACAACATATGGTTGCATGTTGTAGCCTAATTCTGCACCTGAACTGGTTGATGATCCTTTTTTAAAATTAGGATCCTCGGTTGTCTTTGACCACTTATTATCTTGCTGTTTGGATGTTTAACTCTCTTAAGGCAAGCTGGCTGGAATTTGTTGTCTTGTTTCTTTCTACTACATTTCCACCTATTTAATAAAATAAAATAGGAATCCATATCTACTCATCACTTGCTTAAGAAACTAATTGGAATCATATCAAAAGTATTTTTCAGTATCTAAAGATAACAATAGAGCAGAGTCAATTCTGTTTTGAACTATATTCAATATATCAGTTAATAAATGAGAATTATCTGATCCCTATGTTTTTAATAAATTCATTCTGAGGAGAATGAGTTACATTTTATAAGACCTTTTGTCATTCAGCAACCATTCAAAATTCTGACAGCACTAAAAAAAAAAAGGATATTTATACGTGGTCCTTGAACTCCTGGCCATTAGAGCACCCTTGTGATCACATAATTGCAAACTGGGTGTGTTAGATAGTAGCTTCAGCTATAATGATTTCCACCAAGGTCCTCTGTTCCGATAGGAACAGAGGTTTAATCGCATTGGTCGAAAGGTCTGACAGCTCCCTATAAAACTCAACCTTCGCTGGATTTTACATAGTTGCTACTGAGTTAATAAAGAGCTGTTGTTACTGTTAGCCTGTGTGTGCCTTTCTATTATCCGATCTAATACTGGCGACGAAGGTAGGATTGGAAGGCAATTAGGCGGACCAAAAAGAGTGTAGCAATCTAGCAAGTAATCCAGCCTGGAGCTCAGCATGGCTTCGAGCAGCCATTTTTGAGCGGCAAACTCAAAATGACCTCAGGACACAAAATGTCCATGCATGCCCCACCAACTCCATATAACCCAGTCACCGAACATTAGGACTCGTATATGCTGATGTTTGACTGCTTCCTCAAAGCCAATGACCTCATAGGCCTTTCTGAAGGCCACAAGAAGGACATGTTCCTCGGTTACTAGACGGGAAGTGTTTGAGACTGCCAAAAGCCTGTCAAAACCAACACCGCTACAATTGGTTGCTTGGTCTGTGGAACAGCATATGCTGAGGACTCAGTATGCTCCCAAGCCATCTAAGCACGTCCACTGGCACAAATTTAATATTCGGAACCAGAGGGAAGGCAAATCAATCAACGAGTACGTTGCGGCACTATGAAAGGCCGCAGCGTACTGTGAGTTCTGAGACTTTGACGAGCTTATTCTTGACCACATCATATGCGGTATTCAGGACATTAATTTACAGAGGAGGTTACTCGCCAAATCTAACCTCACTCTACAAATTGCCTTGGATGAAGCCAAGGCATCAGAATCAGCTGTCAAGTCAACAGAAACCCTGCAACGCCAAAGCACTTTACAAGATGCGCGAAAGAACACACATGTTCATCATGAGGCTGCAGAGGCTGAGAACGAAGAAGGCGAAGAAGATGACAGCTGCCACATGCGCAATAGCCGCACCAAGGTGGTGCGCTAATTTGAGCAGCATTTACCACCTTGCGCTAGTTGTGGAGGAGACCATGCCCGATCGGTTTGCTGTTTCCGCAACACTATCTGCCAAGCTGTGAGGAATGGGCACATTGCCAAAGTTTGCAGAAGCAAGCACCCCACGACGACCTGGCAGCCAAGAAGCCGAGCTAACAACCAGCAGAGGCCCAACCAAGGGACATGGCAGAAGCCACCACAGCGCTCAGAGGATGACACCAAAGTCACCTACCACACCTCAATTGGCCAAGTTCACACTAGGTGGCCAAAAAAGCTGAAGGTCACAGTCCTCACTGAGGGCTCTCCATGCAAGATGGAGATCGACATGGGGTCATCACTGATCATCATACCACAGTCTACACTCAAGCTGGCTATCCCTAGCCTGAAGAAGCAGCATCTACCCTGACATCCGCTTCCGCGATTACCAGGGGAACCGAGTCCCCATC